GTCCGAGTGGATCGAAGTCACGACAGCTGAAGTGGTAGAGCAGCTGCGTATTTAGCCGAAAATCGTGGGTTCGAATCCCGTTCGCGACACTAGCTTTTTTATTTCAACCAATACCATACATAAAGATTGGTTAATTGAAAGTTCGAAATAAGGTTCAGCAATCACACCCAAGGCAATGAGGCATGCTGAACCTAGAACTGAATAAGTTAGGGATTAAGGAAATCACTCACTGGATTAAAATGGCTTTGAAAGAATGGAAGTACCTTTTTACAATCTGCGTGTAGAAATGAGGACGGACGTCCAATCTATTTGACCACTTTTGCCAATTTCAGGGCTACCTCAAGAAAAAATTTAAAGCTTCTAGATATCCATTTATAAGAAAATTTTCAAATGTGAGAAGATAAGTCTAAAATCTGTTGAAAGTCCTAATGTATATTTTTAAAAAAATCTCATTATCAGTGAAGAGTAATAAATAAATAAATGACCCCGTGTGGCAGGAACAAAGTGAATGAGCAGTTTTTATTAGTGTATTATTAGCAGCACTATTTTATTAGTGAGGAGGTTTCAAAGGATCAAGATATCTATTTCTAAGTAAAGTTAAACAAGAAGAGAAGAAAACAAGCTAATCTTTTGTATATTCTAACGTAAGTTACAAAAAACGTTATAATCGCATTGATTTTTGCGAGTTCTTAAAAGGATCAAGTTATCCATTTCTAAGAAAATTTAAAAATTAGTAAAGAATCCAATCTTTTGTAAGTCTAATATCGTTACAAAGGCGGTTTAATCACATTTATCTTTGCGAGGATCTTAAAACTTTGAAGAAATTCATTTCTAAGAAAATCTAACAATTAGAGAAGAAAAAATCAATTTTTTTGTATGTCCTAAATCGTTACAAAAACCTTTTAATCGCAGTTATCTGTACGAAGATCTTTAAACTTTCAGGTTATTCATTTCTAAGAAAATTAAAAAATTAGAGAAGAAGAAAATCAAATTTTTTCTATGTCCTAATATCGTTACAAAACCGCTTTAATAGTATTTATCGTTGCGAGGATCTTTAAACTTTCATGATATCCATTTCTAAGATAATTTAACAATTAAAGGAGAAAAGAATCAAATATTTTGTAAATCCTGATATTGTTAGAAAAAGTTTTAATCGCAGTTATTTTTGCGAGGATTTTTAAACTTCCAAGATATTGATTTCTAAGAAAATTCAAAAATTAGAGAAAGAAAAATCAAATTTTTTGTTTGTCCTAATATCGTTACAAAAACGCTTTAATTGCATTTATCTTTGCTAGGATTTTTAAACTTTCGAGAAATTTATGAACAAGGCATGCTGAACCTAGAACCAAATATCGGGTTGTCCGGAAAATAATGCAGGATTTTAAGTTTTCATTAAAAAAAATCTATATAAAATATTCTGTTTACGTTTACAGGATTACTCATTTGTATGAATGTCAACACTTATTAATCCTCTTCCAAATGATATTGTTTGTTTACCTCTGTAGCATTCCGCTACTTGGAAATAATTCAGTCATCCTTATAATGTCAAAGCGAGAATTTCGTACGATTTTCTTTTACGAGTTTAAACTCGGCCGAAGCGGAGCCCAAACGGCTAGAAACATTAACCAAGTCTGGGGCGAGGGTTGTGTTAATGAGTGCACTGTGCAAAGGTGGTTTAAAAAATTTCGGGAGGGAGATTTCAGCCTTGAAGATGAAGAAGGTCGTGGAAGGCCTTCCTCTCTTAATGATGATGTTCTGCGATCAGTGGTGGAAGAAAACCCCAAAACAACTGTTCGAGAACTTGCTGACCACCTCAAGGCGATTGGAAAAGTGAAAAAACTCGAAAATTGGGTTCCACACTCATTAAACGATCGCCAAAAAAATCAGCGCTTTGATGTTTGTGCATCACTTCTTTGTCGAAACAAAAATGACCCATTTCTGGCCAGAATTGTTACATGTGACGAAAAGTGGATTCTCTACGATAACACTAGACGTTCTGGACAGTGGCTCGACAAAGGAGAAGCTCCAATACATTTTCCAAAGCCCCCAACTCATCAAAAAAAGGTAATGGTTACGGTATGGTGGGCTTCATTTGGTTTAATACACTACAGCTTCTTAAATCCTGGCGAAACCATCAATGCTGAATCATACTGTAACCAAATTAATACCATGCATCAGAAATTGGCAGTAATGAAGCCCTCTTTGGTCAATCGGAAAGGGCCCATTTTGTTGCATGACAACGCTCGACCACATGTGTCACGTGTAACGTCACAAAAATTATTGGAGCTTGGCTATGAAACTTTGCCTCACCCACCCTACTCTCCGGACCTCTCGCCTACTGACTACCATTTTTTTAGACACCTGGACCACTACTTACAACACATAATATTCAAAAATCAAACGGAACTGGAAAATGCATTTATTGACTTTATCAATTCTAAAAATTCTGAATTCTACTCAGACGGAATTAATAAGTTACCAACACGTTGGGAGAAATGTATTGAGAGTATGGGAAATTATTTTGATTAAAGAACATTGCTTTAAAGTAACTAGTTTCTTTTTTTTTGTTTAATACCAAAATCCTGCATTATTTTCCGGACAACCCAATAAGTTAGGGATTAAAGACAACACACACTAGATTAAAATGGATTTGAAACAATGGAAGTAATAAATTTGTCTGCGTGTAGAAATCGTGGACGGTCGTCCAATCCATCTGATAATTTTGCCAATTCAAAGGTTATCTCAAGAAAAAAATTTAAAGCTGGGACAGAAACCAAGACGTAGAGAAATTAGTGAAGAGCAGCTTAGGAAAGTTCTCAAATTCCTAAAGGAGAATGCACTTTCTAAGGTTTGGACATAAATCAGGCTCAATCGATAGGTCTCGCAGTTACAAATTATCTGGGACCCAGGAACTATAAACAAATAGATAAACTATTTGTTACGTCAGAAATGAACTTCAAAGCTTAAAGAAACTCGGGTATCTTTTAGAACCAATATTAAATACGGACTTTATTCAGAGTCAACCGTAAAGAAAGGCGGTTGGTTATGGATATGACCTCAAGCCTAACATTGACAAATGACATGAAAATCTGAAATATTGAATTTCCCAGTACACCTTTTATATCGTGCTTCATTGGAGTCTTCCATATATACAATAATAAACTTGAAAATTTTCGACCAATTTTTAGACTGACCTCACTCAAAACGTTTTTCCTTATAATCGTTCAATTAATTTTTCCATTTATTTTCTTGTCGAATATTTTAAATCGGTTCAAAGCGTTTTTTCTTGCTGTGAAATTTAAGAAGAAAATGTATTCAACATTTTATGTTGCCTTTTACAAATATCGCGTGATTGGTCGTCGCCCTTTCCATCCTGGGGCAATTGACAAAAAACCTCTTTAGAAAATTTTAAATAAAAACTAAGAAACAAGTTTAAACAAATTAAAACAAGTTTAAGGAACAACAATAATAATAATTTATAGGAGGAAAGTTCAATAAAATGAATTAAAATATGTACTCTTTACTCACTTGATTGGTTTTTTCGGTAGTTAACAAATCCGTTAGTGTTTAAATTTTTAATAAACTTAACTACAAGCATTAATAAATAAAGGGAAATTTGTCAGCATTTTTGCAATATTTATATTTTTGAGCATTGTGACGATCAGATATTTTTCTAAATCCAAAAATTTATACTGTCCTGTCATGTGATTGCTTCTGTAGGTTTTCTGCTGGTGTGCATCGTGTAAGCAGACTTGTTTTTTTTTTTTTTTTTTTTTTTCAGAAGTTTCTTTAGAAAATGGCTGACCAGTTTTGAGCGATGATGTTTTATTCTTTGAAGATTTATCGTCCCGTTCGAAGAAGGCACACGTCCTACTCGTCCAAGAAAGTGGGAGCAGGTCCTGGACTTCTCCATAACTCGATTCAAATAGATGCGGAGAGTCGCGGGATCCGCCCAGACTCGTCGTCTGGGACGAAAAAATCAACCGGGGACAAAGAATTCAGAGATACGCCCTTCAGATTTCGAGAATTTCGATGAAATTCTCTTTTCAACCGGAACACGACGAACGTCCTCAGGTCATAAAGCAGCATGGGATTATGAACAAAATATAAACACATAAATAATAATAAAATTACATATTCCGGTCCGATAAAACTTGTCATCTGTGCTCCCTTAAAAAATATCTCTCTCATTCAGCAAAAGATCAATTCTTTTAACTTTCTAATATATTCCAATTTAAAATTTTTACTTTATTTGGGACTTTTTTACTCAGTCGAATATAGTTTGATTGGAAATACATTTTTAAACAAGCCCGTTGATAGTAAGTAATATGAAATCAATCTTTGGTCAGATTTTCCGTATTATTGCTTTATTTGACGGACATCGGGATATAGCGAGGGTGTGCGGACCGATCAATTTGGGTTTAACGGCTGTCATCGCTGACCGATTCGATTTGGATACAACAAACAAAACCAGAGGTAAAAATAATATCCTAAATTCCTTGATGCTATTAATGTTAGCAATATTGAACGTAAAGTACGCGGCTTTTTCGGATTCTGTTCCAAACGCGAATGAAATTAACCGGACTTAATTTTATTCAACGAGATAATGGGCCCAAACATTCTAAGCCCGGTTAAGTTTCAACATCGTAAATCAGTGAAGGATTGTAATAAAGTTGTTCGGACAGTCAGGCATTATGGAATATTTATGGTATTATGTGGACACGAGGAGTATCAAGAAGGCTGTCAACACCTAAGAAGATGTGAAATCTGGAAGGAGAATGAAATAAATGAATAAAATAAAACAAGGCTGTTTCTTTCGACTCTCTTTAATCCGAATAACTTATATTCAAATAATTAATATTATATTAATATTGAAAAAATTACAATAATTACAATATTTTATCCGATATCCAATAAACTAATACACATGCACTAAACCTTATTCACGTTGTTGAACTTGGTTGAAGTTTTTAATTTTTTTTTCTTTCTTTCATTTCCAGATCTCCAGTTCCCGATCGACGTGAACGGTGTTCAAAAGGACCACCCGTTCCTCGACCCCGACTCGCTCCAGTCGCTCTTCAGGAGGCTTCAGGCTCTGAACCGCTGCGCCAACATGAAACTGGACGCCCCAGCGAAACAAGCTGTAAGCCTGATCAAATTTAAAATTATTTATTCGAAATTATTTAAAAACAACTCGAAATTAACTGATGATTTTAATTTGGGAAAAATGGCGTAACTGGTAGGCGGTTTTTCCTTGGATCCTTCCTCCAGTTCACTTATATCAGTATTTACTTTTATAATCTAGTTATTGTATTTATTGCTAAATAATAGGATCTTCACAATATCTCTCTCTCTCCTTCTTTCTCTCTCTCCTTCTCTCTCTCTCCCCTTCTCTCTCTCTCTCCCTCCCTCCCTCTCTATCTCTCTCTCTCCCTCTCTCTCCCTCTCTCTCCCTCTCTCCCTCTCTCTCTCCCTCTCTCTCTCTCTCCTTGTCTCCCTATCTCTTTTTCTCCTAATCTCCCTCTCTTTTTCTCTCCATCTTTTACTTTTGTTTCTCAAACACTTTCCTTGCCTCTTACATATAAAACACTTTCCTATTCTTTTATTTCGTAATTATTTTTGCTCTATAGTAGATATAAAGAGAAGAACGTTGAGGAAGACCTAGAGTAAGTAAAAAAGCAAAGCCCCTTCTTAATCAATTTGAATGACCTTTTAATGAGATGGAGCGAGAGGGAGAGAAAGAGAGAAAGAGAAAGAGAGAGAGAGAGAGAGAGAGAGAGAAAGAAAGAAAGAAAGAAAGAAAGAAAAAAAGAAAAATAAACAAGATACATAGATAGATACTACATTCCTCTCCATTTCCTAAACTGAACCTTTCTCCTATTCTTACAACTCTTTCGCTTTTCCCTTCTTTCCCTCTCTCTCACTCTCTCTCTCTCTCTCTCTCTCTCTCTCTCTCTCTCGCTCATCCCTCCCTCTCTCAATATATCTATTTATCTGTTTCTACATATCTATACCTTTTTCTATCTGTGTCTATCTTCCTCTTCTACCGTGTATTCTCTCTGAGTGAAAGAGAAAGAGAAAGAGTTGCAAGAAGGGGAGAAAGATTCAGATAAGGAAATTGAGAAGAATCTATCTTGTGTATCTCGCTTTCTTTCCCTCTCCCTCCCTATAATGATTTTTTTATTAATTTCTTATTATCTTCTCTGTCTTATCCTTCATTTCACTACTTGTATTTTTCCCTCTTCCTCCTCTGTCTCTGTTTCTCTAATTCCGTTCCTATGTCTGTCAAAATGGTATTGAGGGTTATTAAAATTGATTAAGTATAGGCAATGCTTTCTTTTATCTCATTCCTTGCACTTACCCTAACTAAATCTTATTCACATTTCGTATCTCCATATGCACTCTCTCTCTCTCTCTCTCTCTCTCTCTCTCTCTCTCTCTCTCTCTCTCTCTCTCTCTCTCTCTCTCTCTCTCTCTCTTTCTCTCAGTCACTCACTATCTCATTCTTTCTCTTTCTCTATCTCTCATTTATCTTTTTTTTAATTACGATCTTTTGTTTAAATATCTCGGATCTGTCGATACACATGCAACACTGTTTGTCCATCCTCTCATGTTCGGGTAACACTGTAGGTAACCCTGATTTCTGTATGTGAGGTGAGTTGAAGCTTTTTATAGATCGTGAAAGTGTTTTTTGGTATATAAAATAACGAATATAAAGAAGGATTTTGTTTAGGCGAGAAACGCCACATTTTTATATATCATACAATCCAATTTACTGTTATTTTATTAAATAAAAATAAATCCCCTATTTCTGTAAGTTTTTTTTTTAATTTGTAATGCATTACAACTATCTTCAAGTAGGTAACATGTAACAACAAGGTAATACATACAAAATTAAAAACAAGAGTGAGAAAACACCCATTGGTAAAGTTAATATTAAAATTTGTCTGCAAGAACGACATTAATTATACATATTTAATGGATGTTAACTTCTTATATACACAGGAAAAAAATAAAAACAGCAAAACTAGGCAGACCAAGATGACTTGAATAAAACCAACTATAGGTTCACCACCTCCCAAATCTCAAGAAAAATGTTCTCTTTCACCATGTTAAATCTGAACATTTATATACCAGTTACATTGTAGTATTTTGAACTTAATTATTTTTTATAATACCTGATGGTTCAAAGTGGTATCAAATATCCGTTATTTATCTACATTTCATTTTTTCGTAGTGAACCTTCAAAGGATCGTGTCAGCAATAATTTCCCCCTTTGACGCTAACTGAGGAACTGTAAATATAACTCGAAAGAAGTGAAAACAACGTAGGGCAGAGGTTTTTATTAAAGAAGTGTTCCAGTTTCTTTTGACGATATTAGAAGTGACAGGACGGATCTTATTGTAGCACCTTTGGAAGTGTTTCCGACATCCGAGATCCCGGGTCCCGCTACGGTTTCTTTTCTGGGCTTATTATTGGAATCCGGGACGCTTATTTACAGGCCGGAAGGCATTCTGCTCTATGACGGACGGATCTTTGCAAAATAATAAGCAGCCGTTCTACTTAGGGTGCGTTGACCCACCCTTCCTAAAAACCGACTGCACCGAATCGACTGTTATCGGGGAGATAGCCCGTGAAATACCGCCTGATGAATATTCAGGTTTGTTTATTTTATTTATTGGCTCCTGGCGAGGTTTTGAAGCTCGCCTTTTAAAAATTGCTCAATCGCCACTTTACAAGAGTGTCTTTAACATTTCTCCTCCTTCTTAATTGGTAACTTTTTCATTGCCCTGGTGGCATTTTGCTTCAATTCACTTTCAACTCGTTTTCCGCTTGGGACTTACGAAATGTTCACATTGAGTTTATTTATGTTTTACGTTTTATGCCCAATGGATATCGGAGTTATACGAGGCACATCTGCCGACCTCTCCGGACCAAATCTCGATTTATAAGAGGGCTCCGAACTCATGGATGCTTGTTAAAGAGGTTAAATAAATTTACGATCAACGACCTGTGTGGGTGTTTTGACTTGAGTTAGCAAGCTTTGATCGCTCGTTTTCGAACGCGCCGGTGTAAAAACTACTGAATCCGTCGACATGAATCAGCAAACAGAGCGCCCATTCGACAAAAAACCCGCACGCAGCGTGACACACGCACACAAAGGAAAAAGAAAAGAAAAATATTACAAAAACGAGTCCCCGATTCCACTGGGCTGAGTACAATCCAAAACTAAAAACAGGCAAAATATATTTGACAGCCTCGTTTAGCAGTGTCGTGTGCAGCTTTCAACCTATTGAATACCCGACAAAATCGTTTTGAAAGGCGAAGGCGTTGCTGGCAACGAAAACCGCAAGAAAACTAGATTAGTCGAATAATACCTTTAGATTCATCTGACAAGGGCACTGAATCACACAATCCCACACGTTCAAACAAACCATCTCAATCAGGATAAAATGCATACACGCGTGCAGGTCCTGTTTCTTCTTAATACAAAACCTTCATAAATTCAATAGAACTAACTATTCCATTTATGTTTAGTGGTCTAATTGACCAAATTGCGTATTCCAATTAATTATTCTTTTTATGTAAGGTCTTCGTTGAGATGAAAAAGTAAACGTCACGGTGGGATTCGAACCCACGACCTTCGGCTTCGTGAAATCACGATAGCTCAAGTGGTAGAGCAGCGGGGTATTTAGCCGAAGGTCATGGGTTCGAATCCCGCTCGTGATACTAACTTTTTCATCTCAACCCAGTCCTTACATAAAAAGAATGGTTTCAGTGAAAAGTGGGTAAAGTTTAAAAATCGTACCACTCGGGAAATTGAAATTTAAAAGTTAAAAAATGTTATCCCAAAATCAAACAGCGTATAAAAATTTTCTTCCTAAAGTGGTTTTTTTAATTTTTAAAATTTACGCCTCGATTTTCGCAATTTTCGCCTTAATTCAATCGTCATTGCAACCGCAGATTTATTGTCGACAAGCATCGATAGAAACTAAAATACTGAGAAATATTTGGTTTTGTAAAAGAAGAAACGAGACAAATTTGCATGTTTCCACGGTCGCAAAATGAGCTACAAGTATAGTGTATACATGATGTAGAAAAAAAAGAGAGTGAAAGAAAAAAAGGAAAGAGAGAATGACTGGGAGAAATAATGTCTGTTAGTGTGAATGTGAGAGAGAGTGTTTATGTTTATACGTTAATCAAAGAAGAGAGAGTGAGAAAGAGAAACCCTCCAAAACGATATATAGAGAGAGAGAGAGAGAGAGAAAATGTGTGTGTGCGTGCGTGTGAAAGAAAATGATCGGAAAGACAAAGAGAGAGGAAAAATAAAAATAAAAAGCAAAGAGAAAAAAAAGGTTAAAAGGAAAGAAACCATCTAATACTATAAATGCACAGAGATAAAGATATAAATAATGCAAATCAAAATAAAGATTTTTTTTCTTGGATATATGTGCATAGCAGAGAGAGAAAAAAGGGAAAATAAGAGGAAAGAGAAAAGGGATAAAGAGGGTTAAAGGAAAGGAAAAGAAACCATATAATGCCATAAATGCACAGAGATAAAGATATAAATAATGCAAATCGAAATAAAGAATATATGTTTGGAGATACATAAGAGAGAGAGAGAGAGAGAGAGAGAGAGAGAGAGAGAGAGAGAGAGAGAGAACGAGATGGAGAGCAATTGTGAAAGTGAAAGAGTGAGGGAGAGAGAAGATAATATGAAAGAAATAGAGAGGCATGGTATATACGGAGAGAGTGAGAGACCGAATTGTTTACGGACAGCTAAAAACGACAGATATATAAAGACAGACATTCAGAACTCGGGTGAGCAGTGAGAACTTAATTTTCACATAAATTATTAAGTTATTAATCACGAAAGATGTATTGACAACAAAAGCCGTTGCTTGGCTTAACACAAGCCATTTATCCAGAGGGTTGGACACATTCCAACAATCCTACAAAACGAAAAGATAAGTCGAACATCGCTTGGAAAAAATACTGGCCGATTTAAATCTAATATACTTGTTTTTTGTGTTAAAACGATAAGTTCTAGGCGTATATTTTGTCTCTGTAGAGGTCTCTGACTATTCTTTTATTTATTTCACATTAATAGATCAATGAAAAGGCAGGATATAAAAAGTACTG